CGTGGTTCTTGTATTTTAATCAGCTTCTAGCACAAACAGGCCAGGACATATTTTATTCAGTAGTGTTAAAAACAACATAATTATGTGTGTTTATCATAGCAATTGAATAAAGAGATGAAAAATGTTCAAAAAATGTTATTATCGCCTTTTGCCTAAAACACACAGTATAACATCAGCGCAGCCCTGGTGAGGGGATTATTGCAGTTGGTGAGACTGAAGCAGGGTCCACTTTCATACTCTCTGTATATATATATATATATATATATATATATATATATATATATATATATATATATATATATATAATGTGTATATGTACATCTATCAAAATAACCTGAAACCTTGTATCAAATCAGACCTCTATACGTGAGTAGACCTTGGAACATGAAGACCTGAGCATGAAACAGGCACCAATAAAATGAAGCACTATAGTGTGCTGCCTTAAGTCAGAGACACTTGATTTTAGAGGCAAGGTTTGCTAGGGAGGAGGGATATCGAACATGAGGAAATTTTAACATCCTTTTTAAAGGGATTTTGCGTGCGAAGCAAGCGTTTTATAAAGGACAAAGGTAAAATTATTAACTCTAATTGATGCATTTCTGACTTCCCTTTCCCTTAAAATAATTTCTTAAAAATGGAAAGTCATGATATGGGTAAAGAAATGAGACCTTACCCTACCGACAAGAATCGGCGTCGATCATCGATCAAAATGCAACCACAGCTGTAAAAACCACTAGCGAACGAACAGTGTAAAGCTTGTAAATCTCTAGAGAAATGCTAGGCAAGATAATTCCACCCAGTTGTAGTTTGACATAAAACTTAACACGACACAAACCCAGAACATTTCATACACACGTGACGGCTACCTACCATTTAGTTCAGTAAACAGTGCCATGGTTACAGTTGTCTCACCGGCAAATTCCGCTGGAAATGACAAATTATCCCTTTAAAACTGCTCTTGTTGGAACATTGTTATCATGCAAACCGTGGTGTAGCTTTGCTCTGTTCACATCGACTCACAATAGATCTTGGGTCCTGTTTTGAATCTTAGCACAGTCTATCACGTTTTGATAACCCTTATTATATGAGATATACAGAATTTAAAACGAGACTGATAATAGGAGAACGCTGAAATATGTATGCGGTACCTGCTGAAGCAACCCAATACATGCGTAGATATTGGAGTGACTGCGTTCAATATGAATCAAGGTTGATTAAGGAGCTTCCAGGAGGCTTTCCAGGTAATACAACGTGATGTCGCATAGGACATATATGGTTAATACGCTAATCTGGATTTTATGAAGGGAAACATCTGCCGTGCATAGTTGCTAATTATGTGCGTTTAAGAGGCATTTCATTGATGCAGATGGACTAGATGAGCATGACATGGTACAGAGGTCACGCTGCTAGAGTGCTGTAGATTTACATTATAAGACAGACATTAAGAGTGCATTCCCATAGATTTAGATCGATCCATCTAGATCGACCTAACTCGCTGGTTTTTCACGCTAAATTGGTGTCAGCCGAGCGTGCACGGTAGTTAATTATCCCCTTACAGCTTTTAGTAGGCGGGACAGACATTTAAGCCGGCTAAGCTGACAGTAATCTAGTGAGACTCCCCACAGGGATAGATCGATCTAAAATCTGTGGGAATAAGTTTCTAGTCGTCTTCCCCACTTCCTTCGAAAACACATAATGGCTATAAAGAAGATTTGCTGACCAAAGAGATTGGTCTTGTCAAAAATATGAATATGATCCCACAGATACATCCATATTCAGTATCAAAGTTTAACTGCCATCTTGGCACGTATTGAAAACAAATACGATCATTAAATACATATCCAATTTGATAAAAATATGTGAACAACATGGAATAGTTACATTTACAGTACACCTAGATAAACACTCTGTATACGTACCGGTACACCTGGGTTGTGAAATCAACTAAAAACTGAAATACAAAAATCATCAATTCTGAGGTGATCGTTTATAAAAAAAAACTGTCCCTCAAACGAGAACATTTTTCATTTTGACATCAATACTACAAATAAGATGTCACCCCAAGCTAAAAGATCAGCAATATGAAACTCGGACATACACATATATATATATATATATGTCATATATACAGCATTGGTCAAAAAGGTTGTCCCACCCCCATTTCCATGTACTTTTAATTACAAATGATCACCTCACAGCTGTATATTGTTAGAAATAGTGCTTTTTATTACAGATACCGTGTCTAACATGATTAATGGTTTAAAAAAATACAAAATAGAGGTAAAAATATACATATTTTATACCATTTAGTCAAATTTATAAGAGGTACCCTCTCAAATCCACTGTTTCACTGTTACCCGTGTTGAAGGCTTGTCGCGCCGTCTACAGGAGATAATTGCAGTACGCGGTAGACGCACACGCTGTTAGGCACGTGATCTTTAACGAGCACACCCTAATGCTAATTGTCTGTGAATTTGGGGACATTTGATGGCGTCTTTTCAATTTTATAGACATTTCTTTTCATCTGTAGAAGTCACAGTGAAACAGTGGATTTGAGGGGGTACCTCTTATAAATTTGACTAAATGGTATAAAATATGTATATTTTTACCTCTATTTTGTATTTTTAAACCATTAATCATGTTAGACACGGTATCTGTAATAAAAAGCACTATTTCTAACAATATACAGCTGTGAGGTGATCATTTGTAATTAAAAGTACATGGAAATGGGGGTGGGACAACCTTTTTGACCAATGCTGTATATATATGTCTACGTGGGCCTGTGTGTGTGTTTATGCTCGTGTTTATGGGTGCTTTCCCAGAGATTTAGATCGATCTAAAGATTAAGATTTAGATCGACCTAACTCCCTGGGGGTTCACGCTAAATTGCAGTCAGCCGAGCGGGCACCATAGTTAATTAGCCCCTTACAGCTTTTAGTAGGCGGGACAGACGCTTAAGCCGGCCAAGCTGACAGTAATCTAGTGAGACTCCCCACAGGGATAGATCGATCTAAAATCTATGGAAATGGGGTGTTAGTGTGTATTTGTGTTACTGTGTTTGTGTCTTTTAAACCTTGCAAATGAATCATACGAGGTTTTAATCACCGTTTAAAGGAAGTAGTCCCTAAAAATTATCCTAAAATATCAACAAAGTTGTTTTCATAAACACCCCATTTCCATAGATTAGATCGACCTACTTTAGATCGACCTAACTCCCTGGGGGTTCACGCTAAATAGCTGTCAGCCGGGCGGACACGAAAGTTAATTTCCCCCGTACAGCTTGAAGTAGGCGGGACGGACATTTAAGTCGGATTATCTGAAAGTAATCTAGTGAGACTCCCCGCGGGGATAGATCGATCTAAAATCTATGGGAATAGAGCCTAAGATAATAAAAATTAGAATGTAGGCCTTCCTTCTGGATGAAGTTGACAACAGCGAAATTGTATGGTTTCTACAAAACCAAACACATAGCTAAAAGTATGCTGTGAGCATGATTGTAAAGTTGTGTTTATGATCTAAAAAGAGAAAAGTAACACTCTTATAGTGTTTGTGTCATTAAAACCGTGAAGGATGTTAGATCTATATAAACAATAGTTAACACACACGTAGATAAGGCATCAGTAATTCTATTGAACAAGCCTTATAGGACCCTTACCAGTACTTGAAAGCCTGTGTCAAATGTTTTGGAAGTTTGTAGACATAATTAGTTTGTATCGGGTATTGGGGAGTCAAGAAGAGGAAAAAAGATCGGAGTGCTAAGGCATTGCGTACTGGTAGGCCAACATGTTAGTGCGAAGTTGACTCCGTCATTTTCTCCATCATTAATGACGTTTGATGGAGAAAATTAGGGACTGTTTATGTGGTAATACTCTCAGGGTATAAACTGATACCAGAAGACCTGTTGATAGTAAAAATGTATTTTGATAATGGATTTTTTCAATGTTGAACACGCTTAAAATTATTTCTATTCTTTTTCATATTTAATATCTTTTTTAATATTTTTTTCATATCTTTTGCCAGATTTGTGTCAGATGTGAATCTCAATCCTCGACCAAAATACATCATGTAGCTGAAGAAAACGTCTTCCGGGTGAGTTTATACACATGTAGCTGAAGAAAACGTCTTCCGGGTGAGTTTATACACATGTAGCTGAAGAAAACGTCTTCCGGGTGAGCTTATACACATGTAGCTGTAGAAAACGTCTTCCGGGTGAGTTCATACACATATAGCTGTAGAAAACGTCTTCCGGGTGAGTTCATACACATGTAGCTGTAGAAAACGTCTTCCGGGTGAGTTTATACACATGTAGCTGTAGAAAACGTCTTCCGGGTGAGCTTATACACATGTAGCTGTAGAAAACGTCTTCCGGGTGAGTTCATGCACATGTAGCTGTAGAAAACGTCTTCCGGGTGAGTTCATACACATGTAGCTGTAGAAAACTCCTTCCGGGTGACTTAATACACATGTACACACAATGGACAACAAAAGTGTCACCCCTTGAATCAGAGTAATCAAAATAGGCAGATCTTGAGTAGTTATAATGCCTGGTCTAATGAGTATAAAACCGCTGTACCATGGAATTGTATTGTTGGTCTTTTTGTGAAATTTGATGTTAATACATGTAAAATGATACCAGGAGAATATCATTCCACATTCATTTATCTCCCCCAAAGTATTTGTTCAGTAGAGGTGACACTTCTATTGTCCAGTGTGTGTAGCTGTAGAAAAGCAGGATCCTTTTGGTTGTTACACAAATGAAATTATTTGTAACCAGTCCTTCATTTTAATATTTTGAAAATGTGTTAAATTATAGACATTTTGGTGTTTAATGCAAAAGGGCTTAAAATCAAACAATGGTGACATGCCCAGTGTTTGCTCTCTTGACGGCCTTTCCAACATTGAACCCCCGAGACAAACAATTATATTTTGATTATTTACATTACTTCTGCAAATATATATTAAGCTTAATAATGGAATCAAGATTTTTAAGTCTGAACAAAAATTGGGGATATTGTCTGAAAACTTTATTTAAACTACTGGTAGAGAGCTATCTTTCCGAATTTTTTTTTTTTTTTTTACAGTGTCTTTTACATTCCTATGTCGGACACAGTATTACAGATGGACTCTATATTACAGTCTGATACAAGCCTGTTTGTCATTGAGTACAGCGCGTAATTTCTTCAAGTCCACTGCTTTTTTCTTTATTTCTGAAATGTCCTTCTCCCTACTTCGGACCTCCTGGCGTAGGCGCAAAATGTAGTCCTCGCGATATAGCATGCGCCGCTCTTCCGAAAATTTCTGTAAACTTTCACGCTCTGGTATATTATCAACTAATGTGAGAATGGAAGTATAAATTTCAATTTCTTTTTTAAGTCCTTTGATACAAACATCCTTGTCGTAAGTTTCACCTTTTATTCTGGTAATTTCTCGTTCAAGGCGCGCCACATCCGTTGTCTTCTGCTCACTGGCCACGCTGTCTCGTCTACTTCGAATGTCAGAAACGATAGCGGAACCTCTCTCCGACGATTTCCGTATGGCTTCTTTTCGACGTATATAGTTTTCGAGCTCTACCTTTTCTTCAGTTACCTTGAAATACAAATTCAAATGCAGGCTTTAGTGTATTTTATACACAAGTTGAAAAAAATAAATGAATAAACCGAGACATGTCTAAACATCAACTCTGAGTTGCACATTTTACTTCTTTCATACTTCCTCTCAACTTGGAGTTAACGTTTAGACATGTCTCGGTTTATATATAAAGAAAAGTTTGAAAAAGAAAAAACATATTATATATATAAAGAAAAGTTTGAAAAAGAAAAAATCATATTTGTCGTTTCCTTAAATGTTCATTAAATACTTCCATAACATTTGATATCTAATTCAATATGAAACTGACTGTCCACACAGCCAAGAGTCAAGTCCTCACCTTGTCCAGCGTTGCCTGTACTCGCTGCAGTTCCAGAGCGGTCTGGCGTGCCTCAGCTGACACCTCACTCACCCCGGACAGCTGCTCGATTAGCTTGGTCAGACTTCTCTTCTCGTCAAAACTCAGTTTCTTCTGAAGGCGTGGATTCAACCGGATAAAATCTAGAAAAAAATAGCGAGAGTAGAAAAAGACGCAACACTGTGGCGATTGGTTTTTCTGTTATACCGATTTTTATTAAACAAATATATTTTTGTAATGATTATTTTCAAGTGGTTAGCTGTATTGATGGATAGTCCCACTGAGCTTTTCCACCATCGTGTAAAAACATAAACAGTCACGTCTCTTAAGACTGTCTTGGAAATTGGACTTAATAACGTCATAAAACGATCAAATTGAAAAATGCTTATTTACAGTCCAAGCTTTCACACGACCTAAGGCTTGCGGGCATCAGGAGAGAAAGAAATATGCTGAGACCTACAGACGCATGGTTGTTATTGTCATGAGATGATACAATTTTCTTCGTAACGAGGTTCCATTAATATATTTCTTATAAATTAACCAGTTTGAATGTACCTGAAGCAGGCTCTCATTGTGCTCTAGTGCTTTATTCCCGGCGGCGGTGTCTTACCTTTCACGGCAACTTGACGTTGTCTCACCTTTTACGGCAACATGACGGTACCTTACCTTTCACGGCAACATGAAGGTGTCTCAACTTTCACAGCAACATGGCAGTGTCTCACCTTTCACGGCAACATGACGGTGTCTCGCCTTTCACGGCAACATGACGGTGTCTTACCTTTCACGGCAACATGACGGTGTCTCACCTTTCACGGCAACATGACGGTGTCTTACCTTTCACGGCAACATGACGGTGTCTTACCTTTCACGGCAACATGTCGATGACTTACTTTTCACAGCAACATGATGGTGCCTTACCTTTCACGGCAACATGACGGTGCCTTACCTTCCAAGGCAGCATGAATAGCATCCATGACGAAAGGTGAACTGGTTTAGACCCGTCGAAAAGTCGCAACCGTGGCCGAAAGAAGAAACCAAAGCATATCAAATAGGCGTGTTGCTACCCTGGGTCAGGAGTTAAGCACCCATCGCTGCAGTATTGTCCACTCCAGCTCCCTGCACCCAGAACAACAATGGGGGCTTGCTGTTTACAGATTTGGACACAGAGTACCAATTATTAAAGCCAAGGAACGTATGGCAGCACAGGCGATTTACCAGCATGTATTACCAGTTGCGTAATCCATCTAAACAAACGGCCTGTAAACTAATAGAACCCATTTTTATCCTGTTTATCCATAAGCAATGTTCCGTTATGCCCATTTGGACTTTTGTTTTTAAACAACAATCTGCGACAAAGGGGGTGTTCAGAAATTTTAAATGGGTTTGTTTGGGCACGAACAGCTTGAAACCTACTGTAAATCCCGCCAAACACTGGCCTGCTGAGGCATGACAACACAAGCGCCAAAGAATACGTGTGGAAGGTGGGTTATGGATGCGGAGAGGAGGGGGGTGGCAAGAACATGGCGAAGATACATGTACACCTATGTTTCATATAAAAAAAAAGATTATTTCAACAGCTTCATTTCATATCCTTATTTAATTGTGTAATAGTTACGTAATGAGACATAAACCCTAATAGATTTTCTCAGAAAAAGATTTATACCAGTGTCAGAACCTCCACCCCATGAAAGATTGCCTTTATTCGGCTGATCAAACTTTGCCTGAAGAAATTTGCCTGGGATTTCATAACACTAGCTCCGTTTTCAAACTTGATAGCCCGGGCCATGAGCCAGACCCCTGATTTTTGGCCATCGTACTAAAAAAGTAGAGAAACTCACAGTAATTTTTAATAAGGCCTACTGATATGTCTCTAGTGCCCAAATATGTGCGATAGCCTTCTCATACTGGTAGCTTTTTGTGTGCTATCATACCTTATATAACCCCACCCCTGCAGCAGGACATTTTTTCAGATGGGAGTAGGGGAGAGAAAGTCATGTCTCATTAGAAATACCCTTTAGATCAATAGGTTGAATGAGATCAAAATTCAGCAAAAATTTAAGCATCTCCTTAAATATGAACTTTAACACCATTAAAAGAGAACATTTTAGGTTATAAAAATACTTCTGTGCTACAACTAGATATTGTGTGACTATTAAAGACTAGTTCATCGAGTCTGAGGGCTTTTTTTATTTTTAGATTTTTGTTTTTTATTTTATTTATTTATTATTATTTTTATTATTATTTTTTTTTTGTATAGGTATGACTTCAATTTCAAAGTATAAATGAGAACTTTCTGAATCAGAATGTTCAACCAAATATTTAATAAATATGTCCAAAAGAAATTAACACAATCAACATAATAATGTGGTTTTAATGTACCATGAACCTATTTCAATCTCTAAGCCCTGGCGTGATTTTCTCCCGTTCTGTAAAATAAAGATATGTTTCTCAGTGCAAGTACACTATTGCCCAAAATGGTTGGTACACGTCGAAAATAACTTAATATTTTGGGATTTTTTACTCCTATTTCTAAAACGCAACACTTGGTATTAAAAAGAAGTCATGCACCAATTAGCACGATCTTCCCTATAAGGTCGCATTTAGAACAGATGATGCGCGTACTTACTGATCCGTGGACTAAATATGGCTGACCTCACTTCAAAGGAAGCCGGTTAATCCCTTGATGTTTTCACCGCCTCCACACACGCCGTAAAGCGGATTAAATCTCGGCTCGGGGGTTTACATGTTATTGCTTAGGGGGCGGCGCGTGTGGACTGCGTGGGGAGACCATCAGGGGATTATAAGCGGTTGCCTTTTAACTTCGTCGGACATATTTGATCCGTGGATCTGTAAGTCCTAGGAACATCTGTTCTGAATGCGACCTATCATGTAACTCTAGTTCACAGTATGCCACGCCGTCTGGGGGCTATAATCCAAGCTCGCGGTGGGCATACCCGCAACTGAGATTAATAAGGAAGTCTGAAGGTGTTTCATGACCATTTCCCCAAATTTCATATTTGTCAATCAAAGTACAAATTTATGTTTATTTTTTCACTTGTTGCTGTTATGTGAAAAAATACTCATTAAAAAAACTAAATAAATAAACGCTTTTCTTAGATTTGCATTGTTTGTTTCTCTTTGACTTTACCCCCAGCTTCAAATATTTAGCAATATAAGCGGTATATTTTTGGTAATAACAATAATAATGAAAGAAACAGGGCGAAATGCATCCCAAAATTTTGAGCAAGAGTGTATTAAAAACTACCTATTCCCCTTGAATCAAATTAAACAGTGTACATAGGCTTTTTTTTTTTTTGGGGGGGGGGGGGGGTAACCAAAAGTGACCTCTGACCTATTGACAATGACCAGACCCACAAATCACAAAGCATGATTTAAGTCACAAAAAATTTAATTTTTGGAAATTGCTTAATTAGTAATATATAACCTTTATTTCGTCTTCCAAATAACATTCAGAGTATTACCCCTCTCCAATGCTCCTTTTTACGGAAAGACCCCACTTCTAAATTGAATTGAAGACAAATATGCGAGGCAGCCCAGTGCAGTTAGTTTTGGTTTTAATGTCACCTGGAAGAATGGACCAATATCATTTAACAAACATTTAATTTTATTTTCATAATTCGCTACGTAGATCGATCCATCTCCAAGGCGACTTTCGCTGAATGCAATCAGATTCAAGCCTAAATTACATTTACTTGGTCGCCGTGCGATGAAACTGTCCGTACGAATTATTTTGAAATCGTAAGGAGCTACGGGCTACGCCGAGTATGTCTACATTACATGGTCTTAAATCCATACGATTCCGTGCGATTTCGCACGGCCACCGCCTACCTCCGCTCAGATGCCGTACGAAAAGGGTATTACGAGCAGTATACGTGCACCGTACGGACATCGCATTTCAAATGTAATCAAGGCTTAACAGGTTCATACACCTCCTCTCTCTACGATCTACCTAGAACGATAGTTGCATTGGGAATAAGTGCTTATATGATAGGAGTCGATTGCTCGGGACAGTCGGAGGAGTTGAGCTTTGGGAAACAAATCTCGAAGTATTAGTCTTAAGATCCGGTTTTTGCCAATATTTACAACGATCTCTCTAAAATAACCCCTGCAGATGTGTGTCTTTTACCTGTATATCTGTTACTATATATATCTATATATTTGAAATGTATATTAATTCAAAAAAAGGACCTATTCAATCAATAAATACTGACTTTGTATCTTATATGGATTTTTTTCCAAATCATTTTTTCTTAATGAACATAAATATTTATATCGCCTTTTAATATATCTTTTAGTGAAGAATTATAATTTATTTGAAACAGTTTTCAGTATATTTAATTAAACAGAATTTATTTAAATGTCTGTTTTACCTTGGTTATCTTTTATGAAAAAAGTAATACACATGTAGGTTCGGTTGCACGGTAAAGAGGTCCACTTTTCAGAAAAAGACCCCCCCTCCCCCCAGCCCTTTATATTAAAATTGCTGGTTTAGGGCCTGGATAACACGATGCCACTATGTGCAGCTTTTAGACGTACAGTTACTCTCAAGGGTCAATTACCATTATTAAAAGGAACCATTGTTTATAAGAAATGAATAATGAAATGCTTGTGCGTCCTTACCGTCTATTTAGGCCACACTTTTTTATTTTTATGGATGACATCCTGCGCGCGCACCGATTTTCGCCCGTTCTCCGAAAAAAAAAATNACGGCAACATGACGGTGCCTTACCTTCCAAGGCAGCATGAATAGCATCCATGACGAAAGGTGAACTGGTTTAGACCCGTCGAAAAGTCGCAACCGTGGCCGAAAGAAGAAACCAAAGCATATCAAATAGGCGTGTTGCTACCCTGGGTCAGGAGTTAAGCACCCATCGCTGCAGTATTGTCCACTCCAGCTCCCTGCACCCAGAACAACAATGGGGGCTTGCTGTTTACAGATTTGGACACAGAGTACCAATTATTAAAGCCAAGGAACGTATGGCAGCACAGGCGATTTACCAGCATGTATTACCAGTTGCGTAATCCATCTAAACAAACGGCCTGTAAACTAATAGAACCCATTTTTATCCTGTTTATCCATAAGCAATGTTCCGTTATGCCCATTTGGACTTTTGTTTTTAAACAACAATCTGCGACAAAGGGGGTGTTCAGAAATTTTAAATGGGTTTGTTTGGGCACGAATAGCTTGAAACCTACCGTAAATCCCGCCAAACACTGGCCTGCTGATCGAGGCATGACAACACAAGCGCCAAAGAATACGTGTGGAAGGTGGGTTATGGATGCGGAGAGGAGGGGGGTGGCAAGAACATGGCGAAGATACATGTATACCTATGTTTCATATCAATAAAAAGATTATTTCAACAGCTTCATTTCATATCCTTATTTAATTGTGTAATAGTTACGTAATGAGACATAAACCCTAATAGATTTTCTCAGAAAAAGATTTATACCAGTGTCAGAACCTCCACCCCATGAAAGATTGCCTTTATTCGGCTGATCAAACTTTGCCTGAAGAAATTTGCCTGGGATTTCATAACACTAGCTCCGTTTTCAATCTTGATAGCCCGGGCCAGACCCCTGATTTTTGGCCATCGTACTAAAAAAGTAGAGAAACTCACAGTAATTTTTAATAAGGCCTACTGATATGTCTCTAGTGCCCAAATATGTGCGATAGCCTTCTCATACTAGTAGCTTTTTGTGTGCTATCATACCTTATATAACCCCACCCCTGCAGCAGGACATTTTTTCAGATGGGAGTAGGGGAGAGAAAAAGGTAACTATATATCTATATGGTAACAGGTATATCAATTAATTATATATCATTGTAGAGGCAAGGGATGGGGCATTTTTAAATTAAAAATTAAAAATTTTAATTAAAATTTCAAAAGTCAAAAGTCATGCACGACAATTAGTCAAGGGTCATTGATAATGAATCAAAATTCACAGGTCATTTTTATGGATTTTTCATTAATAAAAACCAAAAAGTTTTTTTTTCAACAGTGTTTGAGCAAGAATTTGGTATTTGATGAATGATTTGTAACCATGGTATAGTTTAATGCTTACGAACAAAATTTGGAGCCTCAGCTGTTT